TTCATATAACTCAAATAATAATACATTCATCTCTTAGAAATGTTCGTATGTTTAAAAAACATACTTCACCAAACAAGATATGGAGATAGTAACTAAGCACATGAAATATTAAATATATTTAGAAATAAAAAATAAAGCCAATATGGGATATTGCTATACCACTGATACATAAAAATGTTTTTAAAACTGGTATATAAACTATGGAGAAGAATTGACAATATTTGAAACTCTCAAAGCCATTGCTAGAAATGAAAATTTGCTTTGAAAAATGGATTATCAGTTTCTTTAAAAAGTAAATATGTCCTTCATCTGGGATGTATCTACATTATTAGTAATAAAAACTAAATACAAATATTCATCAACAGAGAATACACAGTGAAATACTAATTCAATGGAATACCAACAATTAAAAAGAATAATTTATTCATAAAAACTTAAATGAATGTCAAATCCATGCTGCAGTCGCCAGGGAAGTCCATTCACGCATAAAAGTGCACATACAGTGTGATTCCGTCTCTACAGGAAGGCTAACAATGGTAAAACTATAATAATAGCAAACAGATTGGTAGTTGGTACAGCACAGGAATGGAGGACACAGAATACAAAGTGACAGCAGAAACTTCACAGGGGGATAAAATATTGCTGTCATCAGCATGGTAGGTAAATCTGTAAAAGCCTGAACTCCAGTCTTGAAAATAACAAATCCCAAAACTTATTATCTAAGTGTTCGCCTAAAAAGTAATCATCCAGGCCACGGCTGATAAAGAAATGAGTTAATCATGAGTGCTAAGATTTTGCTTGAACAGGGAGGGGGAAAATGGCTTGTCACCTTCAATTAGGTGCTCATTAGGGCGACAACATACTGGATCCTGAGATTCTGATCATTCCACTGCCATCTATCATCCACACAACGGCACAACCATGACCATTCCTTCAAAACTACTTTCCTCGGCAGAAAAATGTTATGAAGGTACAGTTTATCACTAACTGAACAAGATTTGGCAAAATGAATATTCTATTTATATATCGAGAAACATCCTCTCATTCAGTGCATAATAGGAAAAGATAATTCACAAATTCACACATTTATAAAGCAGTCAGCACACTTCCTGCCAAAAACAGTTGTGTGCACGCCCGACATAGCCTTTTGTTCTATTTTCTCTCCTCAAAAGCTTTGACCATTTCCACAGGACGTTGTGAGACAATCTTAATTTTCCTCATGGCCACACTGATGAAAAGGCTCTCCATCGAATAATCAGTATGCATTCTCATAATGTATTTTACTAAAGTATACAGATACGAAACAAGCTTATAGTTTTGAATTTATTATACAAAATGGTGTAGAAGAGTCACGAGAAAGTTACATAATGTAGTTTTCATGCATTTCTCCACAGCTCAAGTGAATTAGTATTTTTCAGTTTGCATCTGACATTTAAACATAAAGCTATAATTTCACACTAGAGATAATGCCGATAACTTAAAGCACAAAAGGTCCCTCATAGTTATTTTGAGTTAAGTTCAGGATTAAAAACAAATGTGAGGAATTGTAGGAAAAATAGAAAAATAAATTTTTTATTATTAAACACTAATTTTAATATCTGAATTATGCATGGATGACTGTGTCTTCCTACACATATATATCAAAATGCATAGTAAATGTATTTTGTACTTTTTATGATTAAAAAAAAACTAGATGTAAATTTTCATTAGATGACCTTTATCTAAATATAGCAATGTGTTTATAAGGTATTGCCAAGTACATGTGTGAACTTTTTTTATCTAAACAATGTTACATACATATTCTACATTTAATTTATACCCATAAAGGGAGTTACTGATTTTCGTAAGGGCAAAAACCCTAATTTCTACATATTACATACAACAGCCAAACAGAGGGAATTTACCTCTGAGTGTGTTAGCATACCCTATAATCCAGGACTCCAGGAGATTGAGGTAGGAATATTATAAATTCAAGCCCAGCCTGAAAGTCTAACAATAGCAGTCACAAATTTTTTTTCAATATTTTGAAGGACTTGGTAGCTTTTTTGTTTTAATATCTAGACATTTTGTTCACCTTGATTTTATTTTAGTGTATGGTGAAAGATGTGGGCCTAGACTCAGTCTTCTGTATGTGGATAAACAGTTTTCACAGCTCCATTTGTTGAAGAGGCTGTCATTTCTCCAGAGTGTTTATGGCCTATTTGTCAAAGATTAGATGTACTGTGCTACAGACAACCTCTAGAATGGCCTCTGCATCCTCTATTCTGTTCCACTGATCCGTGCGCCTGCTTTTGTGCCAGCGCTATGCTTTTATTTTTTTTATATATTTGAAAATTTTATTGATAAACAGATAGCAATGAGACAGTTTCAAATCAAATCAGAAGTACAGTTTCAACAAATAACACACTGCATATATTCTTCTTAGTGGTTAATTGCTGTACAAGA